GCATGTGACTGTTACTTGGATGAACGGCAAGGGTTTGGCATGTGACTGTTACCTGGATGAACGGTGGGGGTTTGGCATGTGACTGTTACTTGGATGAACGGCAAGGGTTTGGCATGTGACTGTTACCTGGATGAACGGTGGGGGTTCGGCATGTGACTGTTACTTGGATGAACGGCAAGGGTTTGGCATGTGACTGTTACCTGGATGAACGGCAAGGGTTTGGCATGTGACTGTTACCTGGATGAACGGTGGGAGTTCCCCTGGAGCCTGATCTGTGGCAGATATACCCCATGACCTGCGAGCAGAAGCTGGTCTCCCAGAAGGATGCTCTCGCCGTGTTCATGATGCCGCAGTTATGCCCAGGAGTAGAAGATGGGTACCCTTCAGGGGGGAGAAGGACAGACGACACAGAGCAGAGGCATCAGGATCAGAAGGTTATAAGACTGTGATAACTGTAAGCCCTCTGCCGCCCAGGTGACACTTACCAGGACCCCAGTTTAAGTACCGAAAAGGTCTCCCATCAACCCACTGCCAGCCATTTCCAGACGACAGGCTGTTTAGGCCGATCCAAAGAAGGGCGGCAGAACTCTGGCTTTGGGTCAGTCCTAGATGGAGGACATCATATGAATTTTACACAAAACACAAATTAAGCACTCTTTGGCCGTAGTTGTGTTTAACCGACCTACTGTGTGTTTAACTGACTGACTGCTGTGTCATTGGAATAAGGGCATGTTTAACCTCAGGTTTCTGAGCAATATAGGCAGTATTCAGAAATTCCTCCTCTACTAAGATATCCATCTTTTGATGGTCGCACTAGAAGATGGGCTGTTTTAGTTACGACACACTGTGTTCCTCGAGAGGCCACACAAGACCCAAAAGACAGACAAATATCATCCAGATGCAAGAACCCCAAGAATAAGAATACCCGAGATTAAGAGTACCTGAGATTAAGAGCATCTGATATTAAAAGTACCTGAGATTAAGAACAATTGATATTAAAAGTACCTGAGATTAAGAGCATCTGAGATTCAGAGCATCTGATATTATAAGTACCTGAGATTAAGAGTACCCGGGATTAAGAGTACCCGAGATTAAAAATATCCAAAATTGAGAGTACCTGAGATTAAGAGAACCTGAGATTTAGAGTACCTGAGATTAACAGTACCTGAGATTAACAGTACCTGAGATTAAGTTCTGCTCATGAGGCTCGAGGATACTCAGTAGGTCTGCCCCCATCTGTCTGCAGCTCATCCTGGCTTGATGCCATTTCAGCTGAGCACTAGGATTGATCAGGTACCAATCCTGAGTTACTGAGTTTTGGACCCAGAGCTTGGTAGCTGTCAGAAAGAAGGAACACAACAAGCAGACAGAATGAGTGGCTTCCTATGTAGGTGAAGGGGCTGGAACTGGAGGTGGGTGGCAGAATTTGCTCAAGCCAGTACCTAGGAGCTCATCTTAAACAGGGGTATAAGATAGGAAGACACTCACATTTCGATGGGCACAACCCCCACTTCTGATCACTGTCATAGTCAGTGACCGTAGCGCACCACTGCTCGTCGCTGGCCTTGCCGTTTGTCGTGCACTCTGTGTACCACCTGTTCTCATATTTGAAGGGGAACATGCAAGGCTTCCCCTCAGAATTCCCAAAAATGGTAAACGGATCTGCAAGAAAACCAGAGCTGAAATTCACCGCTTTTTAGTCACTGGTTGCATGCGAAAAAAGTGCTAAAGCGCAGTTATAAAGTGGTTATAAAACTGTTAAAAAGTTATAATTATTGTGTGAGCGCCATCTGGTGTCCAGCAGCTGAATTATTCATTAATTCCATATTTGATACTGCTCCTCCTTATGCAGGACCGCAGGGCTCCAAAGCCTAAACCTGAGGCTACGGCAGGCAAGGCAGGGAATAACGCATCACAGGACACACACACACACACACACACAGATAATTTTGCAACTGCGATCCACCTTAGCATATTTTTGGACCATGAGGAAACCGCAGGATGGCCAGCAGAGAACATCCACACACAAAGAGCCAGAGCGGGGTACCCGGTCTCGACCGTACTAACTTGATAACCATCAGGCACAAACCTTCTTGCGGTTGTGAGCAGATGTTCTCCGTAGTCCCATAAATTCTCCATTTACTTGTGCATTCCGAGTCATTGCAGACACGCAGGTTGTCTGGGACGGAGGTTTTGTAGTGCAGGTGTAAGCGTTTATCTTTCAGGTCCACGAAGGTGTCATCCTTACATTCCCATTTCTGTAACTCCTCGTTTTCGTTGCACACTTTCAGCGCTACAGTCGCCCAGTTGACATTATCATTCACGACCAGACACCGTTGCACGTTGACGCTGTATATGCGGTGCTGTGACCCCCAGAGGAATTTCTGGTACATAGAGTTTCGGTTGCAGTTAGACAGCTGCAACTTGCCGTCGTTCATCACCGCTAGACATTTTCCCTCGTTCTCATGATAGATTTGGAAAACACTGCCTATGATGAAGGAAACATTATTATTAGTCTTTGCCAAAAAGAACAATGAAATCCGGCAATTGTTTTTGGAGGAAATTGAGAATTAACCGACAGCTGTATACTGTAAAAAGTTTTATAAGGAATAAACTGCTGAAGAGTTTACGTTACTCAGTTTTTTGCTGTTAATTGCATTAAATCTGGGGAATACTCTTAGATGGGCAAACCAGGAGATCCAGAACAGCAGGTTGCAGGATTTCTGTCCACAGGATGTTAGACACTATTTTTCTAACCTGTTCATCTTTATAATCAATTTATGTAGTTTTAATAAACATTTAATTGATAAACACAATGTGTCATCTACTGTGTATTTGAATTTGCCGAGCATTCAGCCAAGAGCAAGTTTTCAGTAGGAAGACTAAATTGGAACTATGATTAAGCTGTTTTTTAATATTATAAAATCAGGTCAATTTGAAATTGTGCAAATTAAATTATGCAGCAGAATATTAAATAGTCATTTTGCATATCAATATAAAATATTACTATATTAAGGAATGAAGAAAAAACAAAAGATACCCTTACAGTAACATTCTGTAAATGTATAGGAATTTAAAGCTATTTCTGGTGCCAGGACTTATTGCAAAGTTAGAGAAAATCTGTTGTATCCATACCAAAACTTAGTCTGGAATTTTTTTCATGCTGGAAAATCAAACTCTCAAAAGGGTAGAAGGAGACCTACCTGTTTGGGCAAAAGCAACCCAGGTGCAGAATAAGAATAAAACCACAACACTTCTTGGCTGCGTCATTTTCCAAGACGCTACTTAATACAGTCCTCTGATACGATGTGAGAAAGGATCTGTCTGCGGCTCACTTAAGTAGAAGTGGAGATGAGTGGACACTCCCCTCAAAAAACACAATACAGCATTATACCGCTGACTTTTTATTTGCGCAAAACTGATATTAAGCAACACATATTTTTCCTGTGAATTTATTTGGTCAGGAAGTACGTAGCAGATCAGAAAAAAGGGAAGATGTTCAGTTTCCACCTATGAGACAAGGGAAGCGGACAGAGTAGTCAGATGATCCGCGGCACATATGTGGTGCCATGTTTATTTCCACAGAAAAGGGCATAATTATTAAAAAAATCTGGAGTCTGGAGCCTTTCACAGTAAGATACATATGCAGAATATAGTCCAGTTGGGTTTCTTGGTTAATTTTCAAGTATATAAATTTGATTTCACAAGATTTACACACTATATGTCACAGGAGCCCAGTGTCTTCGATAGGAGTTTGGCAGAGTCCAAACCTGCAAGCAGGACAGTGAGGTCTGCAAACTCAAAGAGACACAAGAAATGGGCCCAAGGATCTTTGAATGCACATGCATCCTTCCAAGCTTTTTAGGTCTTTTTTATGAAGGAATTCAAGGATGGATGGATGGATAGATAGATGGATGGATGGATGGATGGATGGTTTTTACCCCAGTATGGTGCCCTTAGAATAGTGTTTGGATACTTGCTTAAGGATGGTTTAATAAATAAATCATTGTAGGTTAAATAGTCAAAAGTTAAGCCAGTAGCAGAGTTAGAAAGGTTAGCCTAAGACACAGGGTGAGGGGCTCGGACATTCGGGAGGAGCTCAAAGGAGAGCCGTTGCTCCTCCGCATCAAAAGGAGTCAGTTGAGGTGGTTCGGGCATCTGTTTAGGATGCCTTCTGGATGGCTTCCTGGGGAGGAGAGGACCACCAATTGACGCTTCATTTCCTGAATGGTCCATTGGAATCCTACAATGATGGGCTTCTGGTCAGCACAGTGCTACAATATGGTGAGTAACCTGAGTGAGGCATTGCCAGTGTAGTTTTCTAACAGGAACAAAGCCTTTCAGGGAAATATCTGACGGTAACTTTTGTCTGAAAATATGAGCAGTGACTGATGCTTCTCAGAAAGGAACGTCTTTGTGTCACAAGGCCATGGGGAGGAGCAGATGGGGAACAGGGGGTTTTCATTTGTGAAAAGGCATGTACCCGAATCCAGATAGGCTAAGCAGCAGTGGCGGACTCAGGCTGGTTGGAGGGCAGGGGCGAAAAAAATAAAAAGGCCACTTATTGCATGATATGTGCCCCCGTCAAACTCGTGTAGCATGGTATGCTGTGCTTGATGAAGTAGTCCCTGATTAAGATTTTTCAAGTAGTGTTTTGTGGACTACAGAGGCAACCTATATGTCACATTTTCTTACAAATAGGAACACATAGAGGGTATATTATTCATCTACTTTGATAACATGCACAGGAAGCTGCACCCTTTTCCATATGAAGGGTACCCATAGAGTCCACTTAGACCACTGTAAGAGCACTTATAGGGCACTGAATCACATTCTCTCCGCCAGAAGGGCACTTCATAACGGCCTTCTTTTCCATTGGAAGGGTACTTGCCCATTAGTGCTAAGTAAAACTAAGTGTGTTAAATGCTAGGAGTTTGAATAAGGGAATCGGGAGGGGGTGCTGGTATATGGAATGGTGACACTGTCAGCAGCCAAGAGGAAGACCTGCCCCCTGCACTCCACTGGATTGGAGGATGTGCCCAAACCTGCAAGGTCACTTAGGGGTCACATAAACAGCTCTGCACTTTCATTTCGTGAAGTCATTAAAACACACAGACACAGCTGGACTGCAAAGGAAACAGGGAGTATGAATGGATCAGTGCTTTTCGCCATGTGATCAGTCACCAGGCCTGGCTGGATGGGGGGGTGGGGGCAGGGGGGGTCGGTCAGAGTGTGCTTGACCAACCCAATCATAAGCTTGCTCCACCCTGCCAAAAAGTTAGCCCACTTGCTATTAAATCTGGTTCACAGATTGATCCATCAAGCTTTACCCTAACTAACATTAATTATCCCGTGACCCTCCCGATAACTCAGAACTGGAAGCAGGCCTGTCTGTCATGTGGAGAGTGCAGCCCGTTTTCCTCCAATTAGATTGTGGCTTCAAAGAAAAGACACATCAAGGCATTTTTTTTTCAGCCACATGCAGGTTGAAGCAGTACAGCACACAGGGGCAGAGCAGCCAGGGG